CTCGATACCAATACTCTGATTCTTGATGTGCTGGAGATGGAAGCCATGGCGTCGGAGATAGGGCTCTCGGTACCAGCGCTCTGATTTTTGATGTGCTTCTTGGCAACCTTACTGGTCAACTTCGTCGGCGCGACATCCCCGGCGATGCCGTTGTCGAATACCTCTTCGCTGTCGTGTCTTCTTAGAGAGAAAAGTTAGGAATTATATATGTGCGATCGAGAAGATGAAGAGAGAGAAAAATGATGAGAAAGAGAGACCGAGAAGATGACGTGCTTCTAACGGCGGCGGCGAACTCAGATCTCATAGAAATAGAACTGAAAGCGTGCTTCGGCGCTGACCGCTTCTACTAATCCTCCAACTCTGATCTTCAACCTGACGAGACACGAGCAATAGTGACCTCTTGACCACCGTGACACCATTCATGGATCTGAAGCGATGGAACCGCTATGGGCCTAGAGATGGAAGCCATGGCGTTGGCGTTCATCAGAGTGAGAGCCGGAGGAAAGAAAGAGAGACAGAGAAAGACAGACAAGATGAGGAAGAGAGATAATTTTTGAGAAACTAATTTTGAACAGATAAGTGTTTGTATGTTTTATATATAGGGGCATTTTAGTCATTTTGCAGTGTCTTGTCCTTATGGACATACTAGATGCCGGGAGCTTCTATTTGCACACACAATATACCCTTTTTTGCACATTCTCCTCACTACACTTTTTGCACATTCTCTTCATTAAGTGTGTGTATAGAGTGGGTTTGGTATGGGTAAATAGAAGCTCCCCTAGATGCCTCTATTTACATATCACGTTTCGTCTCAAGGTACACCATTAATTAGTTAAGGTGATTCTACTTATACCACTATTTTACCTCCTTACACTCTTCATATGAGATTGTTTTTTTCTTCTAAAGTTATCCATGTGTGAAATTACTTAAAAGAACAAAATACTAAAATTAAATATATTTGATTATCTCCTTACACCCCTTGATCTTCAATCCCTATTTTTTCTTTCTCAACTTTTCTTTTCTCTTACACATCTCTTTTGAAAAAGTGATAATCATAGTGTTTTGATCATCAAAAAAAAAAAACAATTGATGAAAAAACGATGGTGAAAAACCATCAAAAAAGTGAAACGGTGAGTTTTTTTATTAGTTTGGTAGGTTTTTGTTTCGATTTTCTGGATTAGTCTGCGACTTTTGTTCGGTGTTTCGAAATCGAACAAAATAACATAGTCCGGCATCATAGTGCCGAACAAAAAATATAAGTCTGGTATCAAATTGTCGAATAAAAGATACATTTTTGATAAATTACATAACAAAAAATATAAGTCTAGTAATAAATTGCCGAACAAAAAATACAAGTCTGGTATCAAATTATCGAACAAACCCAAATTATCATTTGGAACAAAGTAGCTCTGTAAATGTATAGCAACAGAACGCTAGACAAATCTATTTTTTCCAGCAACATAACATTAGAGTAATTAAAATTTACTAGCACTTTATTATCGAACAGGCCCAGCACAAATTATTACTACATTATTTGGAAGGAAGTGGCTCTGTAAATGTATAGCAACAAAAGACTGAAACAAACAATTTATTCCAGCGTTATAGCACCGAATTTTTGTAAATTGTTTCGCATTGTGTGACCAAACAGGCACTTCAATGTGGACTCTACTGATTTTGTTGGGAAGTGAACTGAAATTATCCAATTGAATGGTAACATAATACTGGGAAACAAAATTTTATCTGGTAACATGGAACTAGAGTAATTCAAATTGTTTAGCATTGTATTACCGAACAAGCCCATGACAAAGTATGGGTGTAAAGAGATGGGTTTTGAAAAGTTTTTTTATCATAGGGTTTGTTTTGGTAATATATTAGGTGTAATGAGAATTTAATTTTTTTTTAAGTGGTGTAATGAGATAGAGGGTGTAAGGAGGGAAAAGAGTGGTGTAAGTAGAATCACCTAATTAGTTATCTGTTTATTACAATAATGACTTTACCTAAAATGACCGCAAAAGAATATCAATACACACCTTAGTTGAATACACAACATCTAAACCCTAACTCTAGCCACCATTGTTGCAGCCGCCGCCATTTCACCGTCGTTGCCTCGTCGCCTCTCTCCAGCTTCGGCAAATCCCCATCACCACAAACCCTCACCGATGATCTCTCTCTCTTTCTCTCTCGCGATCTGTATTCTCACGATCTGCAATATGGTGGGTTACGGGGTTACTGAAGAAAGAGAGGCACAACTGGGCTAAGAAGGTGACAGCGGCGGAGCGCAAGTGAAAAGAGGGGTTAACAACGGTGAAGGTGATCTACAAAAGGAGGCGACGACGGAGCTGAGAAGGAGATAGCGACAAACGCGAGGAAGGAGAGAGGGGTTGAAGACGATGGTAGCGATCTGCGAGGTGGTAGGTCTATGGGAATAGAGGCGACTTACGGGATTGGGAAGTGAGCAGCAACAGTTGCGAAGACGGAAGGAAGGGTTGACGGCGGTGGCCATGGTTGGCTTTGATAGTGGTTGTCAGTGATGGCTGCTGCCGTCGATGGTAAGTGTCTAACAGTTAGGGTTTTTTTTTTTTTGAATTTGAGGTGTACTTAGGGCAAAAATGGAACATTGTGGTGTATGTTGAGAAAAATTATGTTTTTTTTAAAATTATTAAAGATATGAACTGAGTAGTGGTATACCTTGAAACCAAATGTAGTGTGTAAATAAAGGCACCCGGACATACTAAACTATCGCTTGGACATTTGGGCAAGAAAATTGGATTTATCCCCCGAACGCCATTATTAAGAGTGTTTTAAGATATTTTATTGGGCTCAATATATTATTTTGCTACTGCTTAGACCCAAGTGTTGGTAATAGTTTGCAAAGCCCCAAATCACCTTAAGTTTAGTGGTTGAAATGTATTGCCCTGAGCATGCCCACTCAAGTTAGGTTCTTGAGCAAAGGCCAATGGTTCTGTGAAACAGTAGTGATATATAACTCTAATAGTAGAGCTCTATATAGAACTCTAGTGAGGTGGAAGTGAGAGAGAGTAGAGAGAGATAGAAAGGAGAGTGCGCACTCCACCTTCACATCGACACTCTCCACATCATTAAAGTTGTATTAGATCTCTCAAATATTATTTTCTGTGAAAACATGAAATTCTTTGGAAATAGCTAAATTTATGAGACCGAGGTCAAGCTTGTCTCTTTTTTCCTCCCCAACCCAAATCCAAAAAAAAAAAAAAAAAAAAAAAAAAGGCCAATAGTGCAAAATAATCCCAGAACTCGAACTCGAGTGCTGAATTTGCTTACAACTTCTAAGTACCTCATGTTTCTCACTAGTGGCCAATCTTTACATTAGTTACATTTCTCTTAAAATTAGATTTAGATCCAAAGAGTAGAATTTTTTTTTTTGCAATTTTTTACAATCCACTGGGCCTTCCAATAAAAATATAAGGTGAAAAAAAATGTGTTATTTACAAAAACAATTGCCTTTACTATTTTTTTTTTTTTTTTCAGGTTTCATTGCAAAACAATTTAAGGTAAATTATCAATAAATCTTAATAGTTGTACTTAACTCCCATCAAGTCTTATTGAAAATAAGCCCTAGTAAAATCGTCGTTAAAAGTAATTTTTTGTGACAATTTTTTGCGCGTCACTAAAAATTGGCAATTAATGACTTTTTTTATCACAATTTTTATAAATTGTATCTAAAACTTATCATTAGTGACGAATTTTTCAAACTGTCATTGAAAATTAAAAATTAGTGACTTTTTTGACTATTTTTTTAAACTGTCGCTAAAACTTATAATTAGTGTCATTTTTTGGTGACAATTTTTAAACTGTTATTGAAAATTAATAATTAATGACTTTTTTATTATTATTTGATGAAAATGTCATTAATTATTATGGGACTTATTGGACAATAAGTACACCTATTAGGACCTATACGTAGTTTTCCAAAATTTTAAAATTTTATTTTTTAAGTGCATTTAGATTAAATACATGCAAAAAGTAAAAGTAAATTTATTAAAATTTGAATAATAAAATCATTAAAATTATTTATAAAAAACACACAAAAATAAAATAAAGCTCAAACTTCCCTTTTATTTTTTTTTTTATTTATTATTTTTGTGAGTTATAAAACAAAACAAAATTGTCCAATTAAACTCAAAAACCCACTGCAGTAGCAGTATTATATATATCTATATAGGGTATCCTGGCCTGGGCCAGTTTGTGTGCTTTCAAGTTGGGCCAGTTTGCGTGCATGACTTTTAAGCTAGGCCACAATTTGAATAAGTATTCCGAAACAAATTTTTATTGTTTACAATTTAAAAATTTAATAGGGTAGTGGCTTTTTGACTAGTGACTTAAATAGATTAGTGATTTTTTGATTTTTTGAATTTTTTAAGAGTTGCCAAACTTAGCCTTAATCCGTAACTCTAAAAATTTTGTTGATAAAAAAGGGTTGAACCTGTAATCTTATCACTGTAGTTAAGGAATTTGAGAAGAATTTTTTTTAAAAAAATAGATAAAATATAAATAAAATATTCCTATATTTCAAATAAGGGTAAATTATAAATATTTATTACTAAATCATCAAGCCAATTAATAGTTTTTAATAATGTTAAAAATATATTTTAATTAATAATGTAGGTATTATTGTCTAGGAGAGCAATTATGAATTTAATTTTTTTAATTAATTTTATTAAACAAAAAATTTTAATAAGGAAAATATTTGTAATTTTTCAAACTATAGAGACAGTCTATATTTTAAATAAATTTCAAGTTGTATTTATAATTTACCCTTCAAATAATTTTACATATTTTTTATTTTTTCCATTCCAAATTTCTTTCCAATATAGCGTAAATGAAGAAACCCAAGTCTCCAGCCCCAACCCCTAGGCTATACCGTTGTGTTAACCCAGCACTGCACAACTTAACCCCAAAAAAACACAACAATGCTTGTGGTCTGAATTTTCATAGTCTGAGTCTCTCAAAACGACGTGGTTTCAAATCATTGGGCCACGCAAATTCGTGCTTCTCAGCTCCTGACCCAAACATCCTCAACAGCTCTCTCTCTCTCTCTCTCTCTCTCTAAACATCTCCATTTCTGCAACTTCTCTCTCATCGAACCTTGGTGATCATGGCCGCCAGCGACGAGTTCGTCAAGGGAAGTGTCCTCCCGAACGGCGTCGCTGTCATCACTCTCGATCGCCCCAAAGCCCTCAACGCCATGAACATAGGTATATCTCTGCCTATGTTTTATCTGCTCATCAACACTTCAATTGAATAGTTCAATTTAGATTTTGTTCATTGGATTGAATTTTGATTGGAATTACAGTTTTTGGTTATCTATTTGTTGATGGCTGTAGCTATAAGGTTGATGGATGGTTGTAATTACTAATTAGTAATCAGAAAATGAATTTTTAAGTTCAACCTTGGTTTTTACAAGACTTGCTTGATTTAATTTTCCAAGTTTAGTTCATTCATGCATGTGTGAACTCTTAAATTCAATAGTTCGATTTTTATCAGAAGATGTGATAATTTTAATGGGAATCTGGGTTAGAATTGTAGTTTTATTGATCCCAGTATGATTGGTGGTACTCAATAATGTTTGCTCCCAGAATAAATTGAAATTCAGAATTTCTTTTACTAACCTTTGATTGATTAAATTTTGGAAGTTACTATTGGAATTAAGGGCTGTTTGATTTGCATTTCCAAATAAAGTGTGTTTGAAATTCAGATAAGTGAATTCTGAAGACTGAAATTTATTCTGCAATAGAAAAACCGAATATATTGCCAGAGACTTTTGGTCAAGGTTCTGAAAAGCGGTTGCGGTCGTCGTAACGGTGGCGGTGGCGCAGTTGCAGTTGCGGGGTGTAAAGGCCGTAGCGTAACGGTTACGGTAATCGGAACCGTGAATTTTTTTTATTTTTAGCCCAATTTAAAAAAAACTTACCGATACGCATATTTTTTTTCCATGATCATATTTATTAGGTTTAAAATAAATTTTGATCAATTTTTGTAAATTTTTAAGTATGATCCCATATATTTTATATTTTTAAATCACTATAAATTAAGTTTTTTACATTTTATTTTAATAATTAATGAATTTATATTATACAAAAAATCCATCATTAACTATTATATATAAAATAAACAATAACAAAAGTAAGAGAATAAATAAGAGCCTAAATATATATATATATATATACATATTTTAACCAAGCCAAATTGATAATGACCACATTTATTACTATTATTATTATTATTATTATTATCAAACAATATATAGATAGACATACACAAACAAAATGGTTGAGTGATAGCAGCTGAATAGAATAGCATAGGTTTTACAGTTTCAATAAATCAATAATATGTTCTTCATCTTCCCTATTCTCTCTCTATCTCTTGCTCCTCCATCTTCTCTCTTTATCTTCCCACTTCTCTCTATCTCTCTTCCACAATTATTAGCTTTTTTTTGTGTGTTTTTTCGAAAGAAACAGTTCGGAACCGTTACGTAACGGTGCGTAGCAGGCCGTTACAGCTGTTACGGTACTGTTACGACCGTTACGGTAGCCGCTACAGCTGACACACCTGTGAGTCTCAATCACACTGCAAAAGCGGCCGTAACGGGTGGCGGTAACCACCAAAACCGTTACGTAACGGTTGCGACCGCTTTTTAAAACCTTGCTTTTGGTGGAATTTGTACGAAAATAAATGCAAATTTGACATGAAACTAAAGATGAGCTTAGAATTTTAGTAGAGATTTTATTTGATTGGATTTAGCATTTGTTGCTACTAGTAGACAGAAGACTAAAATTCAAGTGTTTTTGCCGTTTCTATCACTAATTTACCCATTTTAGGGACAGCCCTAGAGGCTTCAGGTGCATACGCATACGCTGAGATTTTTATAAATTTGTTGGTTTTAAAAGCTGTTACTTGTGTTCCATGTGCACATTTTCTGTCATTTAAGAGATAATGCACTGATAGCAGGGCAAAAATCCAGACACACTTGAAAGTTTAAGGGACCATGATTAGAACTGTGAAGCAACCCAAACCTCAATGGCTCGATGTGTATTTTTACCCAGTTATTGATGTGATTCTTGTCTCTTCCACTTGGATTCTGATTGTACTAAATTTTAAATGCATTATTATGCAGATATGGATGTCAAATTCAAAAGCTTTCTTGATCAGTGGGAAGTGGATCCTAAAGTGAAATGTGTTCTAGTTGAGAGCAGCTCACCACGTGCCTTCTCAGCAGGTGACAAGAAGGATACATGGAATATCTTGTTCAACTGTAGATAATTACTTTCAGGGCCTTTGTTGCACTTAAAAGTGATGCTGGATGGTAGAGGAAATTGGAACAAGCAATGGAGAAAAAGAAAATAAACAATAGCAATTCTCCAAGCCCAATGTTATTCTTCAACATCAAAGATCAAGTCTAATAAAATCAATACACTCGAGCCATAAGCACTATCTAATTGGGAAACAAAAAGGAATAGGAAACTAGCTTATAAATAAAATCCTATTAAAATCATAATTCTTAATTATATTAAAAGGATTTTTATTAATGAGTTGATGGAGGCAAGTGGTAGCAGCGTCTTAAGGTGTACAAGAGATGCGGAAGAGATGCCTATAAGGCCTAAGCTTTGATTTGGCATGCATTGGATGATGAGCAACTCACTTGGGACCTTGGATAGTTATGTTTTTAGCCTTATGGGTCTTGTCCTATTGTTATTTTTACATTAAGTCTTTGTTGCTCAATTTTCTAGTTTGGGGGTATTTTGGTAATTTCAGAATTTTCTGGACATGGGTTATCCGGGTTGCCTGTGGGTTCGTCTTGTGGGTCAAGTTGTTTAATTGGTTTTTGTTTATATATCTTATTGGGTGATGCTATTTAGACCTAAAAATTTGACCCATTTTTCAAACCTAATGATGTGATAGTCTATTAGAATATCTAAGGTAACTCTCTCTCTCTCTCTCTCTCTCATGTCTTTTCTAATTATCAACCAATCATCTCACTTACACATCATTGGGTCTAGAAAATGGGCTTGTATATCATTTTCCTTTGTGATTTTGTCTTAGATGGGTTTTTCGAAGTTAAAGATTTAGTAGTTTCCTTTTTTGGTTCTAATTGGTTTAGGAAGTCTCCTAATTCTGTATAAAGTCATGTAATACTTCTCATTTCATAGATTTCATATTTTAGAGAATGTTAAGCGCTTTAAAGCTTTCTTATGGATTGTGTGATGCGATTAAACCGTAGGTGTGATGCCTAAGGTCTCTAGGAGTGATTCCTAGAATTATGTTTTTCTTCTTCTTTTTTTCTTTCTTGAATTTCAGCACTTTCACAGCCCCTAAAACAGTCCCTAAACAGTGCCAAATCTCATCTTTTCTCTCTTAAACTCTTACCCTTTATTGCCCTAAACAAAAACTTAAAAGCCCTATATCCTCTTATTGCCATTTCAGTCACAAAACCCAACTAAATCAGCCCCAAAAGTCCACTGTTGCTGCTGGCCCTATTTGTCCTACATCACGTGTGCCCTTAGGGCACATATTAAGAAGCTTAAAAGAATTGTACATTCTACATGAAGGTAAGTGCAATTAAGAATGTACAATCTTTTTAAGCTTTACTTAACATGTGCACTAAGGGCACACATTAACAAGGCCAATATTAAAATTATTATATTCTTCAATCATTTCTCCTCGGCTGAGAAAAACACTAATATGGAAGGGTTGTGATAGTAGTAGTGCAGAAAGTGTATCTCATGTTGGCGAAGCACTTCCTCAATCCAAATAACAGCAGAAGAAGCTGGCATTGCCATCAATGGTCCAGCATCAAAAAGTCTTCATGAATGAATTGCATAATGTGATTTAATCTTATATTTTTATGATTAATTTTTTCTTATAATTTTTGGGGCTATTTCAGCCTTATAAAGTATTGAGTAAGGTTCTAAGGGTAAACCACTTGATGCAGGGCAATTAGGGACAGCAGCAAATCTAGGCTTTTGGGGCGGATTTTAATTGGATTTTATGGCTGCAATTGCAATAAGAATATAGTGAACAAGTAGGGTTTGTTTAGGGTAATAAATAGGTAAGAGTTTAAACATGAAAAGATGGGATTTTGGCACTGTTTGGGGCTGTTTTAGGGCTGTGAACAGTACCCATGAACAGTATTTTTGGGCTGTTAAAAGTGCAGACAATAAAAGAGGAAAAGAAGGAGAAGAAGAAGACAGGTCTAGGTATTGCACCTAGATTCCATAGGCATCATATTTAGGATTTGATTGCATCGCACGATCCATAAAGAAGCTTTAAAGCTCTTAATTTTTTTTATAAAATATCAACTCTGTTGAATTAGAAGCATTACATGACTTTATATAGACTTTAGAAACTTCCTAAACCAACTAGAACAAAAAAAGAAAACTATCACAATATCTTTGACATCTAAAACCAATTTAAAACTAAATAAGAAATATAAATAAAACCTAATTGATAACTTGACCCACAAGATAACCCATGGGCAACCCAAACATCTCATATACAAAATTTTTGCAAATTACAAAAATATCCCTAACCTTAAAAATCCTAGAAACATAAAATAATTATAAAATAAGACACTAATAATACTATAAACATGATTTTCTATAGTTCTTATCGGTTTCTCTTTGAAACCTTGCCAATTTCCCAATATTGCCGCTTCTTTGAATTTACTATTTCTTGATCTTGTTGTACTCTGCATCATTCTCCCTTCGTTGGAAAAAAATTCGACCTCAAGTTTTAAAATTTTGAAGTATAAGAATCTACAAGTTTTGAAATGGTATCCATGGCTTCACTTTAAAATATTTAAGTTGACAGCATCGATTCTTCTTCATTGGAGCTAGCAATGAAAGCAACAAGATATTTTCAACTCTAAAGTTGAATTTTTCTGGAATGACGAAATCAATTGAAGTAGGAGATGAACCTTTAAATCGATTTAAGTGTAGAGTTGCAAAATTCTGCCCATCCATTCCATTCTCTTTTGGCTTTGCAATGTAATGCTTGCAATTAATTTGAATGTTGTTTCTTGTCTCAACAATCATGGATTCCATATTCTGAGCCTTTTCCTCAATCAAAATGTTATCATGTAATTCAACCTTGACATCCTATTGAATTAAATCAGCACCTATCATTGTTTTTGGCATGTTATACACACTCAAATTTGCATTATGTGGTGGTGGGTTAGGCAGTTGTGACTCTAATATAGGATCAATATCATGCTGGACATTATGCACAGGTAGAGGTTCATTAGATGACTTTGTTGGTGCCAAATTAGAAAATTTTGGGTGACCTTTAAAGGCATATTTTGCACAGCACTAGCAGCTAGTTGCTTTGATTCTTCAGTCCCTACAGCTTCCCTAGCACCCAATTCCTCGTTTTCGACTCTAGCCTTTACTTGAGTAATAACTAAATCTTGTTGAGGTGCTTTTGGATTATCAATAAGTGCCTCGTTATCTTTCAAAATCTGGTCATCTTTCGTCTTAGGAAAATTCTGAACATATTCATTGGCTTGCAAATTCAATTGTGTACGATTTTCATCCCTAAGAACAATCTTTGGTTTTTCAGCATCTTCTTGTGGCACTTTAGCCCTTGGTTTAGGAGTTTTTGTTGGTTTCTCTTGTCGGATAGTCTTTCCATTATGCGCAGACTTCAAAACTGTAGATTTCTCCGTCAATTTTACAAAAATTCAAATTGTATAACCATTTCAATAGCATCTTCGAGATCTTCTAAATATGCATGAGATATCTCTGTTTTAATTCCAAATCTCAATCCACTTTTGAAACGAGCAATAGTCATCCGTTCACTTTTAACCAGTCCAAACTTGATAAATAACTCTTTATATTGTCTTGCATAATTGATCACACATATCACCTTGCTCAAGAGTATACAATTGATCAAGAAAATCATCTTGAAGATCCCTTAGACAAATTTTTTTCTCTAAGAAGTGCTTTACCCTCTTCCCAAGTCAATCCACTTGTATAGGATCTCCCACAATGTGTGAATATCATGGTGGAACTTGAGGATCTGATACCAAGCTGATGCAGGACAATTAGGGACAGCAGCAAATCTAGGCTTTTGGAGCTGATTTTAATTGGATTTTATGGTTGCAATGGCAATAAGAATATATTGAACAAGTAGGGTTTGTTTACGGTAACAAATAGGTAAGAGATTAAGCATGAAAAGATGGGATTTTGGCATTGTTTAGGAGGTGTTTTAGGGGCTGTCAACAGTGTTTTTGGGCTGTTAGAAGTGCAGACAATAAAAGAGGGAAAGAAGGAGAAGAAGAAGATAGGTCTAGGCATCGCACCTAGATTCCATACGCATCACACCTAGGGTTTGGTTGCATCGCACAATCCATAAAGAAGCTTCAGAAGCTCTCAATTTTTTATAAAATATCAACTCTATTAAATTAGAAGCATTACATGACTTCATATATACTTTAGAGACTTTCTAAACCAACTGAAACAAAAAAAATGAAACTATCACAATATCTTTGACTTTTAAAACTAATTTAAAACTAAATAAGAAACATAAATAAAACCTAATTAAATAACTTGACTTACAAGATCCATGGGCGACCTTACACAACTCATATCCAAAAATTCCCAAATTACCAAAACATCCCTAACCTTAAAAATCCTAGAAACATAAAATAATTATAAAATAAGCCTCCAATAATACTATAAACATGATTTTGTATAGTTCTTATAGGTTTCTCTTTGAAACCTTGTCAATTTCCCAATATCGCCACTTCTTTGAATATATTCTTTCTAGAGCTTCTTATACTCTTCATCACCACTCATGGCCAATGCAGGAATGGATATTAAAGGGGTTGTTGCTGAAATTCGAAAGGACAAAACTACACCTCTTGTGCAGAAGGTGTTATTTTGCATTTTTTTTTTTTTTCCCCCAATAGTTTGTGTTTTGCTACTTCTTTGTCTATTGGGTGTCTATGTTGTGATGAATGCCTCATACAGAACCTCATGTGGTTTTTAACCCAAGCAGTATTGCTTCATTTTGTTTATAAACCCTCTGTTAGTTTGTGAGGATGAAAATGGGGTGATGTTGCCGCCTTCACAAGGATGATAGGCATTTCTGTCATAGGTATTATATTGTTATTTTTGCATGTGATTTGTGTTGTTCCAACTTAATAGTCTTACCTTGCTGAAATAGCTAAAAGTAATTGAGATTATCTGACCTTCTGTGGAATTTGAATTCTCCAAGATAAATGTTGTATCATGTATTTCTATTAACAAACAATTTGTGCATTTTTTGTTCTAATTGGATCAGTTACTTGCAAGAATCTATTGAAATTGCAGACATTTAAGTTAACAATTCTTGCATTGTTCATGCTCTATGTTTGTCACTTATAAAAGAATGAAAAGAATTATTTAGCTTCTCCATGAATGAGGATCTATTGAAATTGCAGACATTTAAGTTAACAATTCTTGCATTGTTCATGCTCTATGTTTGTCACTTATAAAAGAATGAAAATAATTATTTGGCTTCTCCATGAATAAGGTAGAAGCCATGTGTATATAATAGATTGATGATACAATTTAGGAAATGATATAAATAAGGAAACAATATTAAATCAGTGATTGACGCAATCACAGATTATATACATAATAGTAAAAATAAAAAGATTCTATTCACTGTAATTTTTATATTCAATACTCCCCCTCAAGCTGGTGTGAAGATATTCAACAATCGCAGCTTTCTAATGGATGACTGGAAGAAGTTGGAAAAAACTCAACGGCTAGCCCAAATAAATGTTACCGAACAAATCTGATAGTTCACTAAATAAAAAAGTCCAAAAAATGTTTAATACATCAGAACTAGAAAAAGCCGAAAAAAACTCAACGACTAGTCCAAATAAATGCTACCAAACAAATCTAGTAGTCCACTAAATAAAAAAGGCCAAAAAGTGCTTAATACATCAGCACCACAACCTAGAAAGGGAAAAAAATAGGGACTGAACTGCCCTAGAAGAAACTGACCGGAATCAATATTGAAACAATTTAAGGGGTCTTGCCGAACCGTTGTAAAAACTGACTGGAACTAACGTCGGGGTAGTTTAAGGTCATGTTGGACCATTGTAGGAACTAATCGGAATCAATGCCGAGACAGTTTAATGGGTCATGTCGGAGCGTTGCAAAGACTAACCGGATGTTGAACCAGCAAGTGTGGCACACACATAACTTATGACGTGGTGCTAAATGATGATGGCAACAGATGACTGAGTGTGTCAAGGGGCGGCTTATTAGAAAGTGTGCCACAGGCGGCGGCTTAGGTGGTGCGCCAAGGGGGCAACTTTGGTTGTGCACCAGTTTAAGGTTGAAACAGAGGGAAAGACAAAGTGGAACAGAAGCACACAAAAAAAATAGATTGCGAGTAAAAAAAAAAATATGATAGAGATATTTGGGATAGGGATAAACTAGTGGATAGAGGAAGATATCACCACGAAGTGATACTGAAAGAAAATATGGCAGTGGAATGGGTTGACGTCCGGCGGGTGGCCAAGGCAAGGCTGTCGCCTGCCAGTGAAGCAAAATAACTAGGTACGTAACCTAACTTTGATACCAAAAAGAATGAAAAGAATTATTTGGCTTCCCCATGAATGAGGTAGATGCCATGTATATATAATAGATTCATGATACAATTTAGGAAACGATATAAATAAAGAAACAATACTAAATTAGTGATTGATAATATCACAAATTATATACATAATACTAAAAATAAAAAGATTCTATGTACTCTAATTTCTATATTCAACACTTATTAGCAGGATCCTCCTATTGAGGTGATAAATTCTCTTCATAACCTTGATTCTATGCTTCAAAAGTAAGAATTGTATTGCTCACATCGAAAAAGAACCACGTTCCCAATTGAGATGGAACTTCTCAAGCATTTAAATCTTAAAGAAATCAAAAGAAAAAGCTACCAAGTGAAAGAAAATTTGTAGTAGCCATAAGATATTGGAAAAAAGAAATGTAACTCAAATTTATTCTAATATTTTATATTTACATAATTTGTAATTACAAAAAACAATTTGTAGTTGACATCATTATTATTATAAATAAGAAAAACAATAATAAATATATAAATGCTTCTATAGGAGCTCCCAATCTTAGACCCTTCTATGTGCCCCTGCTTCGCCCCTGCCCCCACTTTGTGTAACTAAGGTTTGTCAATAACGCTTTCTCCTCATCACGAGTCACGACATACACTTGTTATCTTGGAGCTAAAAACATAAAATTTTTAGATTTAGTTTGTAGTTGCAATTGAAAAGCCCAGCCCATATTTCTCCTTAAAACCCAGGACATACAGTAGAGATAGGGCAACTCCAGGCGATGTGGGACACCTTCCAATACACCCTCCTGGACCAGGACATACAGTAGCCGGACAAACGGCACACCAATTACAAGCCCAACTAAGTTCTGATATCAAATTGAAAAGCCTAGCCCATATGTCTCCTTAAAATCGAGGTTTTAAGGAGAGGAAAAGTGGAGCTTTATAACCAGCACAAATGGGATAACTCCCGGCGATGTGGGACATATTCCACCAATTGCTTGTTGCTCATGTGATTCATTTTGATTGTGTGCTTGCTTAGTTGATATATCTCTCATTGGCTGATATAAATCACAATTTTGACATAGTTTTCATGTGAATGACATTTCAGCAATAATTTGCTTCTGTAGTTGGTAGATTTTATGTTTATTATGTCTATTGTGTCTATACTTGATTGGAACATAAGGCTTAGTTTGATTTGGTTTGGTTTGGTTTGGTATGTTAGCTGAAGTTTATAAGTGCTTATCATGCCAAATTCTCTGGCAGGTATACGCTGCAGAATATTCTCTAATATGTAAAATTTCTGAGTACAAAAAGCCATATATATGCTTCATGGATGGGATAACAATGGGCTTTGGAATTGGCCTATCTGGTCATGGTCTCTACCGGCTCATCACAGAGGTCCGATTGCCTTTTCTAACAGATGAATTTTTGTTTTATAACTAAAAACATTGTGGAAGTTAAGTTATTAATTTTACTTATATGAGTTTGTTTCAGAGGACTCTTCTTGCTATGCCAGAAAATGGGATTGGCTTATTCCCAGATGTTGGGTTCGCTTGCATAGCAGCACAAACACCAGGAGAAGGATCAGTTGGTATGCTTTCTGTTATTTTAGAATGTTCAACTGGGTTAAATGGAGGGAACGCTTATCATGTTCTCTTCTCTTGTTTTCACGTCTAAGATTTTTCTATCGCATTTAAATTTATTGAATTAATGTTTAAATTCATCAATGAGGCGCATGATGCTCATTATTTTTTAATGAAAGCAAGCGTGAAAATGAATGAGAAAAAATAAAAGCTGTGGTGGATTCTCTGTGATTGTCACAAAATCAATCTTCCCGTACAATAACAAATGAGTACATATAGCTAGTATGGGTATCGTATTTACGAGGTCTATTCAATTACTTTGACTATTTCAACGAGTAATTCTTAATTTAATTTGAAAAAGGTTTTGGTTTGGTTAACAATAATTTGAAAGAAAATAAAATTAAAACCCTTAATTGAAAAACGATAAAGTGTTTAGAAAATTGAATAGAGATAGAGAACCTGGCTATGAAGCACGGACACCTCTCTGGAGGTCGCGTACAGGTGTCTGACACATGTCGGACACAGACATGCGCCGGACACACTAGAAAGAGTTGGACACGTTGGGACACGCAAGGGACACGTTAAGTACACGTTGGAGACACGCTGAGTACTATTTTTTTGAAAAAAAATTATAATTTTTAATTTTTTTACTAAAATAGCATACTTAAGGTTGATAAATTTGGTAAAATTAAATATTTAACATAAAATAGATATTAAATATTTAAAAATATACATATAATAAAAATATGAAAATATATGTTTTAAACGTGTCCCTAACGTGTCGTGTCTTGCATTTTTTGAAAATTTATGTGTCCGTGTCACGTGTCTGTGTCCGTGTCACGTGTCTATGTCCGTGCTTCTTAGTAACCTAGGGTACCAAATCCACCACTAGCTATACAATCGGATTGTAATCTTAGGTTCTATGAAAGTATGCCTTTGAAATGAACAACTTCAAACTACAAGTTCGGAGTTGTTAACAAGATAAATGAGATATTGAACCCACTAGCATGAACTATCTCTAGCAGGCACAAGTTGTCCACAATAAATTAGGGTTGTGGCACAACTCATCTAGCCCAAGCATAATCTGTCCAGTATTTCCAACTCTTAATGAAGAAAATGGTTGTAAAATGCACATTCACAATCACAAAATGAGAAGTGCAAGATACATAAAGCGATGAAAGGAGATTCCAATCCAAAAGTTTTAGGGGGACTTACATGTACGTCATAATAGGTGGACTTACTATCCAATAGGTTCTATGATAATTAATGGCGTTTTTCATCAAATACTATTAAAAAACGCCACTAATTGTTAATTTTCAGCGATAGTTTGAAAATTGTCACAAAAAATGTCATTAATTATAAGTTTTAGAGACAGTTTAAAAAAATATCACAAAAAACGTCACTAATTTTCAACTTTCAACGACAGTTGAAAAATTCGTTATAGAAAAACATCACTAATTATAAGTTTAGCGACAATTTATAAAAATCGTGAAAAAAAAAAGTTACTAATTGTTAATTTTTAGTGAAATGTGCAAAAAATCGTCAAAAAAAATAATAATTTTAGCGATGATTTTATTAGGTCTTATTTTCAATAGGACTTGATGGGAATTAAGTCCAACTGTTATGACCTATTGGTAGTTTATCCAAAGTTTTACAACTATTTCAAAGTTTACAATCATGGGAAACCCAAGTTACAATTCAATTACTCTCTAGGGTTTCATCAAAACACTAAGAATGGTGCCTAGCCACTCATGATGAAGTGATAAGACGCCATTGAAGAAGAATCCGCCATGGGTAAGCTTGTGGGGAAAAATCACCTCTTTGCATTAGCCCTCTTTCTCTGTAGAATATCATAACCCTAATCTCTCATTTTGAGCTTCTATTTATACTTCTTCAGTAGGACAGGTCATTTCCATTCTGGGGTTCGCCTCCCCATGCTCCACCGCACGTGTGGATTACTGCACGTGCGGTGAGTGTTGACTTGGTCAATTTCCACTCTTTGACAACTTTTTCTTCTTAGGACAGGTCCAACCTGATTTAGATCAACATGTTCATAATATAAGTCAGGTTGTAACTGTAACGGACTAAGAAATATAAATTAAGGGCCTCATTGTGACACATTTTGGCCTTTATCACTCTGTCATGGAGTTACATAGTTTTGCTATGAGATGGCTGATTTCTTATTTTTCTTTGTTGTCTGCATATTATATTTTCTGTTTTACCATTTTTTTTAACAATTTTAAGTTTGTTCAGGTGCTTATCTTGGATTGACTGGAAAAAGGATTTCTACACCTGCTGATGCACTATATGTAGGACTTGGAACACACTATGTACCATCTGGGAACCTGGGTTCATTAAAGGAGGCTCTCTTAGCAGCCAACTTGTATATCTCAGATCTTCTTTCAGTTTATAATTAGTATCTTTGTTTTGGTGGAATTGTTTATTTGATATATCACAAATTCACCATTGTGTCATATGGATTCCATGCACCACTGCCTTATGTTCTCATTTGCCCAATATAAGTTACTAAATCTGAAGTTGAGTTTGACCATTCTTTATATTATACTAAAACCTTTAGTAATATGCTTTGTTTTATGCCTAAGTGGCGTGCACGTAATTTGTGTCATTCTATCACTTAGGTCTGTGAAATGAGGAGGCATCCATGTCTTGAGTGATGGTGAGTTAGTAATGTTGTTTCCCACTGTATCCGTAGACATGGGGCTGTGAAGACACCACTTTTTTGACCAATTCATGAATTTTCATAGTTACTATTGGTGCTCTTTATTATACATGTACTATGTGGTCTGAGATAATTTTTGATACTTCTTGACATCATATGTAAATATTGCTTTGCTAGTCTGCTGTTTTGTGCAAAGTAAAGAGAGATTGTTTCCATATATCCACTCTGTCTTATTCAAGCCATACATTTATTATAATCCATACAGTTCGCAGGATCCACATGAAGACATCGTAACAATTTTGGCAAATTACAGCAGTAACCCAGAGTCTGAGCCCCAGTTGAAGCAGCTTTTACCTCAAATCGTTTCATCCTTCTGTGGGAACAAATCTGTTACTGAAACAATCGAAGAGCTGAAAAAGCATCAACTGAGTACCAATGCCACAGGTGAGCTAGTTAATGCTAGTTGTCTATCTATATAGGAATATGTATACATCTTATAGGTAGCGTCTAAGAAGCATGGGCATGGACATGGACATGGACACAGACACGTGGAATGACACGGATATGTTGACACGGAAAATTTTCAGAAAATGTTGGACACAAGTGGAGGATCCGTGCAAAATATATAATTTTATATATTTATTGTATGTCGTATGTAAGGATAAAAAAATTATTATGTCATAATTGTGTGTCATATACAAGGATAAAAAAGGAGTCAGGAGCCTCTCCTTGCAAGCTTGTGCTTGCGTCCGTCCTTGCAGGCTTTCGGGTCTACTTTTAGGCCCAATTTTGATAATCCGAACCGTTCATATTTTATGATTTATTCAGTATATCATACCTGTAAAAAATCAAGTTGATCGGATATCAGAAAGTATGTGTTTGAAAAATTGAACTAAACACTATTTTTTAAAGAATTTAATAAACAGTTTTCCGAACATATGCTTTCTGATATCCGATCAACTTGATTTTTTACAGGTATGATATACTGAATAAATCATAAAATATGAACGGTTCGGATTATTAAAATTGGACCTAAAAGTAGACCCGAAGGCCTGCAAGGACGGGCGCAAGTACGGAAGCTGCAAGGAGAAGATCCTCACTCATAAAAAAGTATTATGTCATATATCTATGAATATTTAAGTCAAAGATAATAATTTTTAAAGTCTAAAGAAGGAGAATAAGTATAAATTTACATTATTTTTGTTTTATCATTGGATTCCAAGTTTTTTTATTCTAACTTGTAATATATTTTATGTGAATGTCTAATGAGTGTCGCGTCGCGTCGGTGTCAAACACAACACATTACTTTCTTAGAAGTGTGTACTTTTCAGGGTAGCATAGTGTCCATTTCATTTCAGCCAGCATACTAATTGCCCTTGTTTTTGTGAGCAGTAACAGAGTGGGCAAAGGAAGCCCTTACAGGGCTTGGAAAAGGTGCTCCCTTTTCTCTCTGCTTAACGCAAAAATATTTCTCTAGAGTTGCATCTGCCCATGGAAAAAATGACAATGATCTATCCAATGTGAGTTTGGAGTTGCACTTTGATTTTTCTTTTAATTTTTGAATTATATAATAAATCTCTTCAGAGAGATGACCTGTAACATTTATTCTTCCCATGATTGCTGTACCCAGTTAAGTGGCATAATGAAAATTGAATATCGCATTGCTATAAGGTCATCCCTTCGGGATGATTTTGCTGAAGGTGTCCGGGCAGTCTTGGTAGACAAGGATCAGGTTTGCTTCTCATTCCCAGTCTCTTTTCACTCTATGATTGAGGAACAGGAAAGTTCTAATTTATCAATTCAAGGATTAACTAGATTTCATCTCCTTGACAAAAAATTTGATTGTTTCCGAGAGGAATTTAATCAGCGGCTAGTTAAAGCAATCAACACTCTTTAGCTTCCCAGTTTTTGTTCATGGTTTAATTTCCCCAATGTTTTACCTAAATAGCACCTAATTCTGTAGCCGGTGGTTCCATTTTGTTGCACTTTAGGGTAAAATGGTTAGGGTAGTACCAGCACATATGTTAAGTACTCTCCTATTTGGCTCCTCCACAGATTTACATATCTTCTTTGAATGATTCTATAGATACTAACACTCTTACTAAAAACATACTAAAAGTACAAGAAGCTAAATATGATTGGTTGTCATCCCATAAACATTCAATGATAGTTGGACATGTTTTAATAAGAATTTTAGTGCATGTAGCATTGCTCTTCTTCTTTAAGAACTTGAATTGAGTCGGGTATATGACAATTACGATTAAAAGTAGTTTAGGGTTGGGTATCCTACCCAAAAAAAAAAAAAAAAATTGTATGAAGAATTTGAATGTTTGGCTTAATTAGTGGAGTTAGGATTTTAGTGGAAAGGGGGCAAATATTAAGACAAGTTATTGGGTTACGTCAGTTTAGAACACAGTTTAGTATGGTTAAAAAAAAAAAAATACATTATCAATATTTCAAAACTACTCTAATATTATACATATCACTGCAATAAAACCATTTTAGCATTTAAGAACTCTCGAAATATGAAGTGAAAAAAAAAAATGTCAATTAAATACACATAATAAAAGGAAGTGATTTTTTTGGATTTATTTGTTCGTGTTCTAATTAATGGTGTGTTAAGTTTGTTGGAAGAAGAATGAGAAAAATTTTAAAGGTACATATATAATTTTAGAGGGAAAAAATTTTGAAAACATTTTCAAAATCTTAGCTTAAAATATAAAAGTCCAGGGCCACATTCTCCTCCTGGAGGCCTCTGCCCCTGCTTGTGATTGTCCTTTCTTCAGTTTACCACCTATGTTCTTACCTTGGCGGACTTGCACTGCCAGTGTAGACAGTCAATCACTAGGGCTATGAGGCTAAAAACCCAGAAGCGTTCAATGCCTTACTTAAACTATGATGCGACTCATTGTACAAACTTTATAGTCCTTGAAGACTGCATACATATTTTGAAATTTTGCTCTATCAAATTTGTCAATTTCAGATGAGATAAAATGGCTGTTCTGGCTGGAAATGGTGTTTTCTTTATCATTTTCTTACCATTGGTCTCAAGAACCGTCACATTTTTCCCATTGATTGTCTTGTTTGTGCATTTGCAGAACCCAAAGTGGAACCCTCCAAGGCTCGAGGAAGTTAACCCGAGGGAGGTTGAAGCACTCTTTGAGCCACTGTCATCAGAACTTGAGGAACTGAAAGTTTGAGCTTCATCTGTTTACTTGTCCTAGTGTCTTTGCTTCAATTATGGTACGAAGAATTATTTTTTATTATTATTAGAACATATTGGACATTAGTAAAAATAAATCATATATTTTATGGCCATTAATTCTAGTATAATATTGCTGCTTAGTATATTTGTTTGAACTATTAGTGAGCCTCATATCATATGTACATGTCACTTGTTTGTATTTAGACACAAAATTATTATGGGTGAGAGAAAATTGTCATATATTTTACGTTTTTGTTGTACTAAATGCCAGAAAAGGCATAATTTTTTTTTTTGAAAATATGTCGGTTCAAATGAACGGAGCAACTTTGATGCCCATGTCGAATTAGGAGATCAATGATGAAAGAGAGCAATTCAGCTTGAAAATTTTGCCTATTTGGCTGTCTCTGTTTTGTATTTTCACTTTTCAGAAAATAAAGGATAAGTTGTTTGCAAATTGTTTCTGAAAACAACTCACTTTTTAAGAAACATCAAATATTTATTTCTGAAATTTTCAAAAACTGTTCTCTAATCCAAAAAAAAAAAAATGATATGAAAATAATGGATGCTTTTGCAATTTTTATGATTTTATTTATTTAAAGAACAAACCACAAAACCTTTTTGTTTTTTGAAGTACAACCAAACTGGCCCTCCTTGCAACAGCGATCAACTTCAAGCTCTCCACCTCTCCATCTACTGCATTTTAAATGGGCAAATTGTTCGGATTGGTCCAGTTCTAAGAAAATTTAGGAACCAAATCGGTCATGATGGTTCTTTAATTTTGAGAATCAAATTGAACCGTTCACACCTATAGAACTGGACCAAAACCAAACTGGAAAAATTGTTCTGCCCCGAATTGTGTAATGGTTCAAAAAAATAATCACTACTCCATTAAAGTAAAATGATAACTTTTATCTTATAATAAAAAAATAATTAATCAATACTAAAAAAAATCAACTTGTTGAAAGTTGAATCCAATAACCAATCCAAACATAACAATTATACAAGTTAACAAATTGTTCTTCCCAACATCAAAATAGCAAGAAGACGAGGATAAGACAAAGATGTATGAAATTAGTGAATGACTTTTGTCCAGTCTTTGGAAGTGGGAACGAAGCTGTTGGCACTAAATTTTGAAAATTACCTATCGACACACATGTCGACGTGACATGACAGGTGCACTGCTAAAATGGTATGGTGACGTGGCTTTAAAGAATTAAATAGAAGCCAAAAAGGCTAGGGGATTAACTATTCCAAACCAGTTGAGAATCAGGTGCTAGAATTATGGGAACAAGACCAAGTCAAAACACAAAATTTGCAAAATGGTTCCTATGAAGAAGGGATATGGATAAGTGGTAGCTAAGATCAAGAAGGATCATGGAGGTATGTGTTGCTGCAAGTATAAAAACTAAATTGAACCCAATTCACAGATTGTGATATCTAGGAGTAGCTTCTATCAGTTAGCAGTAGCAATTTAGCAGCTAGTTAGGAGTAACCTAGTCATAGTTTCCTTGTCCATTGGTATATTTTTAGTTTATTTGTTCTTGTTTAAGTTCATTTAACTTGTAATAAGTGGCAATTTACTTGATTTATATCAATTCAGTACCTTTTACTTGTGTTTTTCTTTGTTTATTTTCCTCCAAAGAAGTCTTTGACATTTCAAGGCATAGAACTCAATCACATTGTTTGATCTTTTGTGTTTAGTAAACTTTAAGTATTGTTTGTCGATTTCTCACTGTCGATTGACCCTAAACTAACCTTTTGTGATCCTAGCAAGAAACTCGTTGGGGAATCTACCCACCTTGAGTATGGTGAGGACATGGATGAGATCAAAGAAAACATTAATGGCAGCCATTCAATGGCTAGGTTTGATGAAGGCCAAAAGAATGGCCAAGAGGTGTCAAATTTGGCCAATTTAATGGCTCAACACTAGAAGAGTTACTTGTGCTTGCTTAAGCGCAGCAGGCAATGGAAAGTATGCCTGAGCAAAACAACCATGAGTTGAACGCCACCTTAAGAGCTATGGATGGAGCTAGCTATAGCAGCCCTAGTTAAGACCTGACCCTTTTATACTCATTGATATGGGTTTTAGTATCTATTGGTGTTGTTGTCATCTGTTCTAATCTTATGTCTGCTTGGAGTTATGCTAAAACAAATGGGATTTTTAGTTTTTTCGAAAAATGTTGGCTTTTTGTTCTTGGGTTCACTCGAGCGGTGGGTTGGCCGCTAGAGGGGTCTTTCATCTCTTCTAGACTCTGAGTTTGTAATATGATCTTCTAAGAGTTTGCATTCAACGCTCGAGCGGTGTTTTGGTCGCTCAAGTAGTATATTCTATAGAGTTGATCTTCTAGGAGTTTGGTTTCTTCACTCAAGTAGTTTTGGTCGCTCGAGCGATGTGTTGTGTCTGACGCTCGAGCAATCTATTTGTATAAAGCTACGAGAAAAGATATTTTTCTTACTTTTTCTAATTCTCTCTCTGTCTCTCTCTCCATCATTTTTGTGTCCTTTAAGCTTTTAGGCTTGGATTTCATCTATTTCTACCCAATTTCTACCTCAGTTCCTATGCCAAAACGTAGAGCTCCGCGAGGGCTTCTTTTTAATTTGAGCAAATCGTGTTTTCGTCGTCATGGATTTTTCAAATTTTCTCCTCGTCGCTTCAAGAAGTAGATAGACATGTAGTTTTTATTGCACAAAAAGCATATTTGTTATGGGATTTTCACAAGAATGAAAAGGGGTTTAGAGTTTGAGGTGTTGGAAGTTCTACTAGCATGTTGTTGGTTGTTTTCATAATTTGGGAGGCAGTTAATCACGTATATGATGATATTGGCGAAAATCCTTAATTTGTTATTAAGGGTTTAATAAAATGAAAAGGAGTAAAATTGGGTGACGGTTGAGTTAAGTGTTACGGTTGCCAAGAGGGAGTTAATCGGGTCTTGTGACTGTTTGATTAATATTATGTTGTGTTGAATCATGGTTGTGTATCAACAAATTGGGGATTTTATTAAAGGAAATAGGGTTTTGGCTAAGGGTTGAAAGTGTTGAGGTTTTGGAACCACGGGCTTGGTTTTGAAAACAAATGATGTGTGTAACTCTTTTGCGAAATGAAATGGAAAATGGTTGATTTGAAATAGTGGAATTGTTTGTGAATGTAATCTACGAAATTATGTATTTAAAATGTTAGAGGTTTTTTCCTTAGTTATCAACAGTCATTACTGTTGTTGAGTAGGTTATATGCATGTATTACACTCGTACATTATTTATGTAATCTAGCATATGGTGATAGTGTGGTGGTTTGTTTCTCTCCAGTTGAAACCCATAAAGCGTGGCACCTTGAGATGGGTTCCTCTCCCTTCTAGTTTGCACTCAGTAAAGTGTGGATTGAGGTATGTTACTCTCCAGTTCAAGCCTGTAAAGTGTGGCGCCTTGAGATAGGTTACTCTCCCTTCCGGTTTGCACTCGGTAAAGTGTGACCTGTTGGTCTCTCATGTTTGGGTGAGGCCGGTAAAGCATGTAATGTTATGGGGGTTGTTTCATTAGCCATCCATGCTTTAGGCTATGTTATTCACTTTTATATATCTATATGCACATAGATGTATTTTATTGTATTGCTGGAGGTGTTCTTTTACCTTCGTGCTTAAGGCCAGAGAAGGTGGTGGATGTGCTAATGGGTATGTGTGAAGTAAGTTGTAACGTAAGATGGGTTATTGACTAGAATGTGTGAATGTGTTATCAAAGTAGACAGTGGTGTGATTATCGTTTTTGGGATGAAGGATAGAATGAGTGAATGATTGATTGTTTTAAAACATTTCTCTAAAGTAAAGAAGTTCTTTTAAATCATAATTGATGAGATGAAAAGATGATAGATGAGCTTTCCTTGAAAGGTGAAAAGGTGGATTTTGAGAAGAAATTATATATATATATATATACATTTAGGGATGTTTTATTTTTGATACAAAACTGTCACATTACTTATATAATATGATGTGGCGTATTTATGATCGTAGCTATCTGTATATCGTTATTATTTAGGATCATTTGGGATCTCTACTAAACTTTATGTTCATCCCATGTTACTAATCCTTTTTCAGGTGCACGTTGAGAAATGGTTCAAGGTTGAAGGATCTTCTTTAATTGTTGGCCAAGGGGCCTTATACCTGTTGGTCAAGGGGCCTTATAGCTATTGGCTGGACGCCATTATTGTAAAGGGTTAAGCCTTATCTTTTTATGAATTAATGTAAGCCTGCAGGCATTTCTTTTAAGTATAATTCATTTTGCATTCAGTGTAAATATGAATGAGAGAATTTCCATTAATCTATGGACGTTAATGTATATAATTTCCATATGTTATTAATGAAATTGGATTATAATAATGGTTGTGGTAATGTCATTCGGGTAATAAAAGGGGGGTGTGACAACCTGATATCAGAGTGAGCCGGGTTTGAATACTTTGGGGTCGTGAAAAGTGATTTTTAACACAATGGGTTGGTGAGGACATTTGCATATAGTTAGGATAAGTGTTAGGACTTTATGTGTTGCATTTATGTGAGCATGTGGCTAAGTTTCATGGATAGTACTCGTGGCCAGTGAACTTGCTTTAAGGTCTTATGGGAAACACGCTTAATCAACGTGATTTCTGATGGGAATTCCTTGAGAGTTCTAGGACGAATAGTTATCCTTGTGGACTTGATTCGATTATGTGATTAAATGTTTAAACTATTTATGTGCAATAGGATTGTGTGGTTTTATGCTAAGTGTGTTTTGTAGCTAAGCGATGGTGAGTGTGTGCCTCGGGGAAGGCTGCTGTGTTGTTCACTAAACTAGTTTTTTCATTTTTCAATTTTGGTTTTTGGTTTTTGGTTTTATAGGTACAGGAGGGAGTAAAAGTCGTATGGGGAATAAAAGTGTTGGTAGGGGCACAGTAGTTCCGTTAGCACCTGCCCTTGCAACATCAGTTGTGGACAAGGAAGTTGCACGCAAGATTGTAAGAGAGGTGAGGGATGCTCTAGCTCACAATGAGGGGGACCATGGGTGTACTCTTAAGCTTACCAAGGAGTTTCTCCGCTCTAATCCACCTAAGTTTTTGGGGAGCCTAAACCGTTGGAGGCAGAAGACTACTTAGAACAGATTACCAAGACTCTTAATCTACTCAACGTCGAGGATGAGGAGTTGAGGATTGCTTTGGCAGATTTCCAACTAAAGGGAGACACTAGTATTAATGGAAATATGCGAGGATTTATGTGGGCACCACTT